AGCAGTGCGCATGCCCTATCTGAGGGCATTCAGCCTCAAAAAAGTGCCGCCTCTGAGCTTGCCAAAGAGAACTGCAGAGTCAAATGCAGTGGGCGATGTCACTTTGCAACATCTGATGAGGAAGCGGTATTGCAGCTGCGGTAGACAGACGATTGTCATCACCCCTCCCCAGCGCCCCCGTCCTAATCCCCAGGTCACACGGCAAAGGGGAGTTCACAGCCGTGATTAATTAAGTTAAGGATCTTAAAATGGAACTGAAGTGAATTTTTATACATAGTGTTTGGAACCGTGCCTTGTGTTTTAGGCATTAAGCCAACATTAGTTTATTCAATTATTATTTACTGTTTACAGGAAAAAGAACATAGGCCTTAGCAGGATTCACCTTGTCCTAGGCTAGTAGTACCAGGAGAGCCAGGACCCCTAAGTCCTGAGCTATTTAGTGCTTTGTGATCCAAAAATGCCACAATATCGTTTTCCTACCAAATCTCATTTTCAGAGTCAAAACAACGAGTAATAGCACATGCCCGGGAGGGGAGCTTGGCTACACTTTGGAACTAAGATCTACCTTAATGTCCTCAGACCCTTTGAGAGAAATGAAAAGTAAATCGTTTTTATTTTGAGACCACTTGTGTTCGTAAGGAAGTCTCATGAACGACAGAACTTTCTCAAGTTCTCGTTCACTCACTCATGTTCTGCACTCTCCAAAGATGAGTCCTAAGATAAGAAAGACCAGCACAGAATCAGGCAACGTGTCTGATCATGGAATCGATGGGCTCCTCAGCGGAACCCAGTGTATCTTGTGTGGACACCCCCTAACATAAGACTCCAAAATATGACCTGATCTCCAAGAGGCAAGCTCCTCTGAGCCTGAATAGCTTGTTCAAAACATACCGCCCCTCAAACACGAAGCCTGGGCGTTCCCAGACCCTCCCATAAAGGTAATGCGCACAGGTGTTGGGAGGGAGAAGCTGACAGGTGAGGAGAGCATCCACGTGGGGCCGGTAGGCTGCGTTCCTGCTTGCTCCCTTGTGTGATCACCAGGTTCCCCTGCGGTGAGAGAAAGCTGTTTACCTGGTGGATTTCCAGATGCACAACTGGCCTTGGCCGTGGGGGTAAAGAATGCCTTCATGGGATCGTAAAAGAAAAAAGACTGTTTCTCTCCTCTCACGTGAGCAGGGACCAGATGTGTGGGCTTCTCCCCACACTCCAAGCAGTTCTCCAGGGAACACCAACTAGGAACCCTGTCCTTCATTTTCACTCTGGCACTTAGTGTCAGATCCCACAGAGCCCCCGAAGACTGTCCTTGTTTCTAATGCCAGTGTGGCAAGGAGGGATCTGTCACCTCTGCTTCTGACCAACTTGCTGTGAATCTGGGGTTCCAGTGACCCTCACAGTTCAGAACTCAGGGGAGCACGTCATGCTCACCAGTTTTTTTGTTGTGTTTTTTTTTAGAAGAAATCTGGATAAGTTTTATCTATAATTGCATATTGGGGATGGTATGCTGAGGTATGACACCAGGCTTAGAAGCTGTCAATGAAGGGTGGATAAATTTACACTTTTAAAAATTTGCCTAAGGGGCTGGGGCTGGGGCTGAGAGGTAGAGCGCTTGCCTATCATGCATGAGGCACTGGGTTCAATCCTCGTCACCAGCTAAATATAACAAATGAAATAGAGGTATAAAAAATACAATAACATTTTAAAAGTTGCATTAAAAATACCATACATAACACTAAAAATTGGGGGAGTTGTTTGGTGTGTATTGAGCTTTAGTTTTGCAAGATAAAAAAAAGTTCTAGACACCTGTTACACAATAATATGGCATTAGAAAGGATCAGACGAAAGGACAGAAGGAGAAAGTGTGTGTGTGTGTGGGGGGGGGGGAACAGAGCTTCCTTACCCCTGGGGGCACAGCACCCTCCCAGTGCCACCAGGTTTCAGCAGCCTGAGCTCATCAAATGTCATTGTCCAAGAATTTTTATAGAGCTTATCTCCAGCCCCTGGTTGGTTATTGGTCTTTCTGGTGACCAGCCCCACCCTGAGGCTATCTTGGTGTGTCACCAGGCTGTGATCCTAAGGGACTCATCAGGAATAAGATACCCCTGTCACTCGGGAAATCTCAAGGACTTTAGGTTCTCTGCAAGAGGAACCAGAGACAAAGACCATGCATCCCATGCAATGCCACAGAAATGTTCTTGAGAAAAGGAATAAAAAATGTGAAAATGTTCGTAGAAACCTAAAAACACTTGGAAATATACAACTTCCAACAAGGTGCTGCGGATTTTCCTCGTGACAATAAGCCCTGAACTTAAAAGAGGTCCTTGGAGACTCCATGAACTACATTTTCATTTGTCACCCTAGATGACAATCAGAGGGAGAGATTCTCCAAAGAATCAAGGCATTTATTTGGAAAGAGCAGAGCCCTGCAGTGGGAATGTACGTGTCGTCGTGAGCTGTGAACAGGTGCAAGGGAGTTGGGTGGGGGGGGGAAATTTTTAAAGGTAAAATGAAGAGGGTCATATAAGCTATTTTGAATGAAAGTGACTTAGGGAGGGATCGGTAACAAGGTGGTACAGTCCAAGACTGAAGAGCCAGTTGTTGGGCAGATGTCCTTGCAGAAGCACTTTTGGTGTATATCATGAGCGTGCTACATCACAAACATAGACCAGATGCGTGTTTCTGCCTACAATGTCAGAATGTGTTGGAAAACACTAAACTCTCAGGTGACACCATGTTCATCATTGACAGTTCTCTGAACACTTGTGGGTCACCTGGTCATCATAAACCAGACAACCACAGGCTCTTTTATTCCTATCTCAGTGTCTAAGATCAGTAACACTCAAGTCTCACTTTACACTTTACACAATTTTATATTTATTACAGAAAGGCTAGGAAGGGGTCAGGGGGCTGAACCGAGAGCAAAGGTAGAGAGCAGATATGAATGCAAAGAGTCACTGTAGGCGGTCAGATAAGATGAAGAACCAAGGCCAGAGCCTGGTGGCACACACCTGTCATCCCAGCAATAAGGGAGGCTGAGTCAGGAGGATCACAGGTTCAAATCCAGCCTCAGCAACTTAGTGAGGCCCTAAGCAACTGAGTGAGACCCTGTCACTAAATAGAAAAGGGATGGGGATGTGGTTCAGAGTAAGCACCTCTGGGTTCAATCCCCGGTACTAGTAAATTAATTAATTTAAAAAAAAAAAAGATTAAGACCAGCAAAGAACTTGTTCAGGGCTCAGAACTGTCAAAGTGCAGGAACTTATTCTAGGCCAAGTTTCAGACAGATGGCAGTTTCACAGTGTCACCTTGGAGTGGGACTTAGGTCATCACAGGCAAGAGAAGCTGCACTCTGCTAAAGCCCAAGGACAGAGATGTGGACATTTGTCACTGTAGCAGTCTTCTGGGCAAGGCTCATGAAGAGAGACCAGGCCACCAGGTCAGGGTGCCACAGTGTCCAGTCTCAGGGCTCTGAGTGAGAAGGTCCCTTCTTTTGGAGTCTGGCATGTTTGACGAGCTCGCGGGCCTGGCTTCGCCTGGGTTTGATTCGCCCGTGCATCCACGTGCTCCTGATTAATTTGACGGGTTCACAGTGGTCATTCTCATCAGCACGATTAACTTATTTATCGGTTTGTGCCTTAGGGTTGTGCCAGGCTGATGGTGGCTGTGCCAGGCTGATACAGAATCGTTTCACCTCAGCCCTTAAACTCAGAATGGAGTAACTCGTGGCACACTGCTGCTCAAACAGAGCCAGCCACAAAGGTCCCGGCTCGGCCTAAAAACTCTGGTTCTACACATCACGGGGTAACTCAGCAGAACACACCACACTCCACAGCAAGGCTACGGTGGCTTCTCAGCAGGGTCGTGGTTTCGGCAGAATCTTTTATGACGTGTTCTTGCTGTAAAACACACATCCACCAGATCCCCTCCTTCCCAACCCCTGGGTTTACCTTGACTTATTATCTGTGGTTCGGCTTTGACCACAGTGACTCCATGTTGATGCTGACAACTTTCTCACATTCTGATCTCTCTCTCTTCAGATTCCACAATATAAACGTCTCACCAACTGGCCACACTAGTTTCTGCCCCTCCCTACCCCTCAGGACCCAGTGGAAGGCTCCGGAAGCCTAAATGTCCCTTCCACAATGTTCTCCTCTCACCCTCACCTCACCCCCGTGGGTGACGTAGGACTGCTGAAGGGTCGCAGGGTTGTTCGACAGCCACTGACAACTTCAGAGGGACCCATTCCGTCCATGCGCAGGCCCACTGTGTAGGTGCCCTGGGACTCATCCAGGTGGACCAAAATGCAGTTCTGCCCCGGATGCCTTTCCCATTCCTGGGAACTGTGTCCCCTCGGTGCCACCTTCCTGCGGTCTGTCCCTGGGCACCACCGCAAGCCCCGCCCCCTTGGTTGAGTATCTCTCTAGCTGTGGCTGAATGACATGCCTGGCAACAGGAGTGTCATTTCTGTGCCGTCCATTTGTCATTCCACGTCTAATAAGGCTCGGGTGGGGACGAGAAGAAGAGCAGCTATTGTTCTGTGCAGACAGGCAGCTCTTTGACGGGGCCCCCGGGGCCATGCGCCTCTCTGTGTCCTGTGTCTGCACAAACATGGCAAGAAGCAAGCTCTAGCCTGGAGGGAGGGGAGAGAGGCAAGAGGCCACGGTCCTGAAGTTAAGAGGCCACAAGGAAAGAAAGGGACTTCTGTGGAGAGGAGAGTCCCATTTAAGTTTCGGTCCCCTGGCCTGGGGCAGGCCGGGGAGGGGCTGGCGGAGGGAGGAAGGCAGTGGGTCAGCTCTGCGAGCCGTGACGCAGGGTGCCCTTCCTGGGGTTGAAATTGAGGAACTGAGGAGGCGTTGGTGGCAGGAGGCAGTGTCTCAGAGCGCAGCATGGAACAGGGGCTCCGGCCACCAGCTCCGCCTCATGTACCTACAAGGGCCGAGGAGATTCACCGCCCAAGGGGGATATGATATGGTCCAAAAACTTTTCCTGGATTTTTTCCGTAGGCGGCTGAGCCAGAGGCCGACTGCAGAAGAACTGGAGCAGAGGAACATTTTGAAACGTAAGTGACTAAGCCCACGGCCATCACAGACGCTCGCTCGGGGGCGACTCTCCTGATTACTGAGTGGTGGGTCACCAGGTTTCTACCTGGAGCCTGGGCAGAAAAGATTGAAAGCCTGTCCCATGGTTGAGGCTCGTCCCCGTGTGTTAGAACACCAAAGAGGACCTCCCCGTGGGGAAGGCAAGTGGGATGTCACTCAGCTCCACTTTGTTGGCTGGAAGCTCACAGACGGCTAAAGCACCTTCCTGCAGTGCCTGCCAGAGAGAAGCAGAAAAACTAGACCGAGTACTTAGTATTAAGTGGTTGAGAAGAGAGATCAGGTCACCTTTAAATCAAAATGGGCTTCAAAACAGTGACGAGGGTATTGAAGGGGGAGAGTCGTTTGAAAACTGAGACCACAAAACAGAACTTTCCATGGCAGCTCGCTGCTGTGGATAGAGTTTTCCAACACTAGCTTTGCAGTCGAAGAAAGCATTTCCAAGTGACTAAGCTTCATGGCCATCCCTCAGGATCCCACTGGCCTGGGGTAAGCCCACGTGACAGTCTCGTTCTGGAGAAGCCAGCTGTCACTGAGGCTGAGGACAGAAAAAAATAAATGAGCCCCTTGTTTGGTTCAGGACACGGGATGTTTGAATAGGGACAGAATCCATTGGGTGCTAAAAAATTAAAGAACACAAAATACTAAAAGAAAATAAGCACGTCTTGGACACCACCTTAGGGTGGTGGAAGATGTTAAGTAGATTTTAAATCCCACCACCCTGCTCACATCTGTGGGGTCATTGCTGCTGTTGTCCCTAACACTTTCCTCAGCATCGCTGACAAGTAATGTTTTTTAGTTTAATTCATGATACTTTCTAGCCCAACCCACAAATGCCCTTCTAACTTCTTTCCAGGAAAAAGAAATTGCACAGGTGTTTTGTTTGTTTTGGTTTCGGGTTTTTGGTACTAGGGATTGAACCCAGAGGCGCTTTACCACTGAGCCACATTCCCGGAGCCCTTTTATTTATTTGATTTGCTATTTTTGTTGTTGTTTTGAGACAGGGTCTCTCTAAGTTGCTGAGGGTCTTGCTAAATTGCCAAGGCTGGCCTTGAATTTGTGGTCCTCCTGCCTCAGCCTCCCAAATTGCAGGGATTGCAGACTGTCCCCTGCGCCAAGCCTGTGCAGCTTTGTAGACATTCTGTATTACGTGCTGCATGCATGCACACGCACACGCATGCACAATCTTTCAAACACTTAATTTTACAGTCTAAGAAAGTATCAGTCACGTAAGATCGTGCCCTGGGTGCCTTGATGTTTTCACTTAGAGTGTTCTCGATTTTGCTTTTCTCCCAATGGTCTTGTGACTTGGTCTGCATTAAATGGTTTGTCAAGGGGGGATGTTGACGCTCACCCACCCCAGGAGGCTGCTGGCATGTGCAGTTCCTGCAGTGCCCATCTGCTTCACAGTCACCTGTCTCCATATCCTGGTCCCTTCTCCACGGCCACCACCACTTCCCCAAAGCTCAGAGGAAGCCATTTCAGGAAGGACCTTCCTCAGTCCCAGGGCACCTTGCACATCTCCTAGGTCTCTAGGAATTTGTGGGCATAATTTTTCTAACCCACGAATGCCCTGAAAGTCCTCTAAGGCCACCGTGCTAGCCAGTGGAGTAGGGACTTCTTCGGTAGAACCCCGGCTGGGGAAATCTGGGCCTATGTAATGGCTCCCTTTGGGCCCCAGTCTGCTCCCTGACCTGATCCATTATAAACTTTCCATTGTGGGAGAGAAAGAAAAACAAGAGGTGAACATCAGTTCCTAAAATCAGAAATCAGATAACTCGACTTCCTCCTCTCTTCCGCCTCGCCCCACACGCTTAGCTGATCTGGGTCTGCTGTCCTCCGAGGAAGCTGCGTACAGCTCACTCACGGGACCCATGGGACTTTTGGCCTCCGATCTGACACGACTCCAAGAGGAGGGAGACGTCTGGGGATTGAAGAGGTTTTAGAAAACAGGGCTTATTTCAGTCAGGTTTAGACATGGAAGGTCCGAAGTCCCAAGCTGTCACCTCTGGTTTGCCCAGAGCCAGGCAGATCCCTGGAGACTGGTTTTCACTGCCATTTACTTGTGCCCGTAAGCCTAGGGGGACCAAAATGGGAGTCCAAAGATTGTCACCATGGCTTTGTTTTATTCTGTACCCTCTTCCTTTTCATCTGGTCAAATAGCTACAAACCAAAGCAAAGCTTGGCCCAAGTCAAACAGGTTGATCTTTTCCCAGTTTCAAAACTCTGTAGAAATGAACTCATTTTTCCCCCGTGGGTTCTTACTTTCTCCTGCATACTGAAACTTTTGGGTTTTTTCCTAAATTTGTTGTCTTTTTAATGTATTCATTAATTTACTTTGATTGCTAAACAAAAATGTCTAGTGGTATAAAAAAAAATGCTGAGATTTAAAAAAAAAAAAAAACATGCTCAGTTTCTTCTGAAACTTATTTTCTAGGCTTTAAATGGCTAAAGGGGCCCCTTGGTCCGCGGTCAGCTCAGCACTCAGCTTTAGGTTGGGTTTGCAGCCCCTCCCTGCCTGGCCCCAGGAGCAGCCCTTGCTCTGTCCTCACCTGAGCACATAATGGACACCCTCTGATGGTGGCACCCTCAAGAATGACATCACAGACTTTTCCTGGCCTCTTTTCCTGTTGCCTTACGGGGTTGTCTTAGCAGCTTCTGCCTGAGAATTCATGACACTTGGTTTGTAAATGGCTTTGAACTAAAGGTATAGATTCCATAGGCAGTAGTTGGGCACCCTGCCCCTCAGAGGGACCTAAGGAAGGCATGTAGGAGATGAAGGTCCATGTTGTGTCACCTCTGGCACAGAATGCCCACCTTAGAGGCTCAGCAGGATCCTGTAGGGTCAGAAGTATGAGGCCAGCACCAGTAATGAGGAGGGCTGGCCCCAAGAAAATCAAACCTGACCACAGGAAAAGGCTCAAGTGTTTGCCTAACTAATTAACCCTATGGGGGGACTTGGGACGTGCCCTTCACGTCTTCATTTGTAAACCAAGGTGGTAGTCAGTGGTTTCTGTCAATATTAACCAGGTGTCCTGGACTGCCTCTGGGGTGGACTCCCAGGCTACTTTCTTTCTCTCTCCCACCTACAAACGTGGCTGACTGGGGTCCCCCATCCGATTCTTCTTATCTGCCTCCCAATTTATTCTCTGATAGATTAATTCTTAGTGAGGTACTAATGGCTAACTAGTTTCATAGGTTTTGTCTCTGGGAAGTTTGCATCTTCACAAATCCTACTCTTCGGGGGGTCTCTCCTCTCCTGGGTCTTGCTGTCTGCCTCCCAACTTATATCTGATAGAGTAATTCATATTAAGCTATTAATGGCAGACTAGTTTAATCTAAAAGAAATTTGCATTGTTAAACAAAATTCTAAGAGGGAGACAGGATCTTTAAAGGAAGGAGTAGCAATTGTGGAGGATTCCGGGCTTCTGTGGCTCCGGTGACCTGTCCCACAGCAGGATGTGGACATTTCTTGTGCTGCCCTTAATCAAGGTTCTAATACCCAAAGGCAGTCAAGGCTGCAAAGTCTTGCCCTGGGGGTGTCAATCAGGACCTGAGCTCTGCTCAGAGGCCCCATCTGTTCCATGGGCAGTGTTGTCACCGTCAGTGTGATCTGGCTATATGGCTCTGGCTGTATGGGGTGGGACTGATTACCAGTCAGTCCCCACCCCCATTCCTATGCTCAGGGGTCTCCCTCTTTTGAAGATCTGTCCATACTTAGACAAGGAGAAGCCACTGAGGTATCAAGTGTGCAATGCAGCCAAGTAATTATCAAAATGCAACTTTATAAGTATGATTGCAAAATGAAAAAAAGAACAGGTATCCTTAATACCAAATATTAATACCAAATCAACTTCTGGTCTCCTTACACCAATGTCGTAATAAACACAGTGGTGGGAATCACAGGTCTTCTATGACATGAGTTGGCATGATGTGATTTTTTTTTCCAAGTCCGACAGTACTGTATTGATATGTGTGCTTCCGTAGATACCAAGGACTTCTTCCAAAGCACAGAGGGAAGTGATGATCTACCCAAGGTCATTGGTTAGCTGAGAAGAAGAGATAAGCCCATATTCTCTGCCCCTAGAATATCTGCTCCTTTCCCAGAACCTCTTGCTTCCGCTCTTTAAAACTCTGCCAAGTCAGTCACCCACATTTTAAGCCGAGAACGTTTTTTAAGCTCTGAAGTCTTCTAAGACACCCCTGACTAGCCTCAATGCAGGCAATTGTACCCCACACTCTGGCCTCACACATGTTCTGTGGACTTCTTGGAAGATTCAAAGAATTAATGGAATCAGGGTTTGCGAAAGGTGAGCGGTTTGAAATTCCCCTTGGCGCAGCCTGCCGGCCTGGTTTCTCTCTGCATTGGGTGCAGGCCTGCCTTGCCATCCACCCCACAGTGCACCAGACACTGGAGCCACATGGCCATGAGCCCTTCGGTCTCTGGAGGCGCGAGGGGCTGTGAGTGAGGCCCACCTTCTTGTCCAGAGAAAGGAGCCTCTCTCCTCCCCAGAGGCCAAACTTGCTTGCTTTGTCACACATTTCTCAGCCCAGCATCTCGGCCTGGGGAGCCAGAACCCACCTGGCACAAGGTCACCCTGCTCACTAGGGGTTTAAAGCAGCGCAGGTAGTTTGGAAGTGTCCCCGCAGGCAGAAGGGTGGCCGGGGAAGGCGACTGGAGCGCCCTCGTCCCCTTTTCAAATGGAGGTCCTTGGACTAGACCAGCTGTGGTTCCAAGGAAGCACCCGTGGGTGACCTGCTGCCCTGAAATCAAAAGCGTCTTCACTGTTTCTTTCAGCTCGGAATGAACAAGAGGAACAGGAGGAGAAAAGAGAGATCAAGAGGCGACTAACTCGAAAGGTGAGACCCTTCTCCAAGCCGATCTCAGGGACAGAAGAGGGTGGGCTGCCCAGGACTCCAGGGCCTCAAAGCCACAAGTCCCAGTGACTCCCCTCCTTTGGTGTCAGATCACACAGCTCTGACCCTGGAGACCTCTCCAGGGCTGGTAGTCAGCACAGCTTCCTGACCCTCCATCCTTTGGCTGGTAACGTTCAACCCTGCTCGATTTATCACACACAGACACTCCCCGCCACCCCAAACTTCTTGAGGTCTGTTGCATTGTATTATCAAATTACACTAAATATTTTGTTTTTAAAAATTCATCATAGGACTTGCAGCTGTAGCTCAGTCAGATGCTTGGAATTCATGGGATTCCAGGCTTAATTCCCAGCACCAGGAAGAAAAACAAAAAAATGGGTAACCCTGTCAGGCCATCTGAAACTCATTATCAAAATTAGTCATCCTCATGTAACATTGTTATTTGCTAGGATCCTAGAAGGTGTGAATTGTCCTTGCCTCTGGACACAGTCTTTCCTCATTAGTTCTTAAGAACTATTTGACTTCGTTATGTACATACAGTTTGCATTATTGGATTAGGAAAATGCCAAAAGTCTGGAAAATTTAATGAAGATGTTTGAAAAGCAGTTAGATAAAAGTCACAAAGCTCAAATTTTTATTTTATTTTTAGCCTCTGAAATAGATGGTTTGGCACTTCGGTGTAGACCCCACGTGGATCTCATGCTACATGAGTGGCCTCTTGAATAATAAACTTGTGGCTATTCTTGGATGCTGTTGAAAAGTTTAATTAATTGGTGACACGCACAGGATAGAACACTATCTCTGTCTAACTAAAGTGTTTTTAATCAGCCCCCTACAGTGACCATCTTAGAGAGAGGCACTCCACTTTTAAAGATGGTGAAGAGACCCATTAAAATTAATTTTTAAAAAAACTTATTAGTGCATTTTTATTCTTAGAAATGTTATTCAAAAGAAGAGACTCTGAGGTCCTGAAATAGCATTTATGAAGGGGATATCTTCAATCGCCAACACTTTGCCTAAAAGTGTCCCAAATATCTAGTGACAAGCCAAACACCAACCCAATAAAAGAAAATAGGGTCTGAAGGGTCAGGTGACTGGCGGGTGCTACCTTGGTGGGGACCTCTCTTGGGCCAGTTGCTGTTACCTGTCAAGGTCTGACCCCTACGTCCTCTAGAGCCCCTGGTCTTGGTACACATGGCACATTTATTCCTGAGACTGAGTGGTGGGAAGGACAGAAGAAATACATGGGTTTCTTCTAAATGTGTTCTTGAACAGATACGGGTATGAAAAAGAGCCTAGTGATAACCTCTCATTTCTGATATAGAAACATCTAGAAGCTCTGGAAAAAAAAAAAAGTTTTTTTCTGATTTGGAGCAAGTTCATCGGAGTTGATTACTGAAACCCCAAAATTCTCTAAACTCCAAGGCTGTCTGCTAAAGAGGGAGTCATGGAAAATCGATCAGACATCTACTCATTTCTTATGTCTTAAAAAAAAGATGGTTCTATTTTTGCAGAGGGAAATTTGACTTATTGCATAATTTCATGGTGGGCAAGAGAAAAGGGCTGCTTCCCACACCCTTCTCCCCTGGGGTGGGTAATACATGGAGATCCATTAACCCCAAATAGCCACTGAATTTTGCATGTCCCCCAATAATTGCTTTTTCCCCCTTGACCCCCCCTCCCCCTCCCCCCAGGGAACTGGCCTTGAGGTACCCTCCCCGGGAGTCAGGGAGAAACAGTGAGTGTGAGCTGAGGGGTGGCTGCTGATGAGGAGAGGCTGGGCCAAGGGGAAGCAGCCTTCACATCTGTCCCCAGAGATGTGGCGCCTGCCGGCAGGTGGGAACCCACATCCTGTCCCGGCTCTGGGCAAGCTCCTTTCTCTTGAGCCTTTATCACACCAGGACCAGATGCCAGGAGTGGTGGCTGTTTTTCCTTGCCTTGCCCTCAGCCCAAGGATCTCCTCAACCAACTTTTATTTACTTTTAATGTGCTAGGGAGAAATATGAAACCCGGCGGCTAATGGGGATGATAGCAAGAGACCAAGTCATTTCTGTGGACCAAATGGAGAATCAGAATTACATACTTACAAAAAATGACTCCAAAAAGAAAAAAAGAGGGTCTGGTTAGCTGAATGGATGGCCAGATGCATGGATGGATGGGAGGAGAGAACACGGGAAGGAAAGAGAAGGAACGCACCAGGGTTTAGGTTGATTGATTTGGGGAATCTGAGTCGACTATATTTTTCCTGCGTATTTGCTTCCACATATAGATACAGCTGCTGCCGACCCCTGCCCCACCCCTTCTCTCAGCCCATCATCCCAGAAAACTTGACACTGGCCACAGGGATCATTTCCTTAGCATCCAAGGCAGGACCTCAGGATCCAGATGCCCCAAGGACTGCAGCCAGCCACAGGCTAATGGCACATCTTCTGAGCTCCATGTGATCAGGGGACAAGCCCACAGTCACAGAGGAGAGACCTGGAGACGGCTGGCGTCAGGGTCCACACTCCACCTGAGACTGAGGGGCAGCAGTTGGAGCTTTCCTCACTCGTCCCCTCCCAGCTATGGGGTACAGCACCTTCCCCATCAGGCATGGTGGTGCCTAAGCCCCCGTGGGACCCGGGCAGGACACTCTCTGCCCTTCAGTCCTCCTTTACACTGAGTTTTATGTCCCCGCGGGACTCTGCCATAGACAGACTATTAGTAAAACCCAGGTCATGAGTTCCAGGAAGATAAATTCCAAAATCAGGGCTTTTTCTGAGTCACATATACAAACTAATATTGTGCATCCGGTGCCCAGGGACAGGCCCTGGGAGTTCTGAGTGAGAGTCTGATCATCTGGGCTCTATGTGGTAAACATTAAGCGTCTTGTACCAATTCTCCCTGTTCTCACATGTTGGAGAGCACATTTGGGTGTCAGGATTAGGCCGTATTTGTTTATAGCAACCCGGGCTGTCTGCCCTGGGAAGCCTCCCACAGCTGCCACCTGACAGACTGGGAACCCCTAGGGGTGGCGACATGCAGTCAGGCCAGTGGGCCAGCTCCCCCAGCTGAGGTGGCTGGTCCCAGAACTTCCCACTCCTGGCCCAGAGGAAGATGCAGGCTGCCGCAGGGTGGCGTCAGAGTAGCCGTGGTGGTGGTGGTGGTGGTGGTGGTGGTGGTGATGGTGGAGGAGGAGGTGGGGGGTGGGCGTTCGATAGGCCTGAGTGGTAAAAATCTATCTGACTACGTCTTATATTAATAGCACTGAGCACAGTCTCAGGCCTGGAGGGAAAAGTGTTCTTAAATAACACTGGTTGAATGTGAATTGACAGCATCCTCAAAGAGGTGACTGTGTCGCCCCAGAAGAAATAAACCTGTGACAGATGAAGATAATAGAAATGTCAACCCCGTGTTGTTCAAGGACAGAGAGAGGGCGATGGGGGGAATATCAGGAGGTGACTAAGTAAACATGGCTTCGTCCTCCCTCTCACCGTCCTTCCTCACTAGCCCCTGGGGGCCCAGCCGGAGCCTTCCTCGGCATGAACAGGGCCAGCTCTGCCCCCACTCAGCTGTGCCTCTGTCCACTGACCTTTCATTTGCCCTTCTTGAGTATGTCTGCACATACACTTTTGTGGGTGTCTAAGACACACGCACATGCACACACGTACACACACGCATATGTAAAATGCATTGCAAACCCATCTTGAAGAGAGCCCTCAATTTGCACAGGATGTGGATTCACATGTTCAAAATAAGACAGAATTATTGTACAAGGTGACTGCCATCTGGTGGGTGAAGGATGCAGAAAAGTCCACAACAGGCACCCACAGCCACACAAAAAGCCAGCCTTCTTACAAAGACCTGTGAAGGAAGAGCCAGGCTGGCTTCAAGCCGTACAGACCTGGAGGTACTGAAAGGGGTTAAAAAGGTCCCAGAGCCCGGAGAAGTCCAGTTCCAGGAGTTGGGAGCCCTGGGTCCCCACAGGGCCTTGCCTGGACTGGCTGTGTGAAGCGTTGGTGGCCTCTCTGGAGGACCTCATTTTCCACTCCTACAAGTTCATGGATGGACCCTTGGGGTCTCAACTCCTCTCACTGGATGGGCCCCTCTCTCTTCCCCTCTGCAGCTCAGTCAAAGGCCCACAGTAGAAGAACTTCGAGAAAGGAAAATCCTCATCCGTTTCAGTGACTACGTGGAGGTGGCTGACGCTCAGGATTATGATCGGAGGGCAGACAAGCCGTGGACCCGCCTCACAGCTGCAGACAAAGTAAGCAGAGTGGGTGAAGAGGAGGGAGGGGAGCCCCAGAGGGTGGCAGCAGGGTCTTGTGTGGGGCTTCTTGCTTGCCACTGGGGAGCCTGTTAGACTGCAGTAAAATCTCCACCCTAGCCCATGATGGGCGCTGAGAGCTGGGTTCTAATAGTGCGACTTCCTCCGAGCCTTTTCCCAGGAGCTCTGGGTGATCTGCAGGGAGGTCACTGAATGTTCTTGACCACTCACAAGACAGACAGTGATACTGTGCTGGAGTTACAGAAAGAGGAAAGCACTGTCTTAGGCCATTTTCTGTTGCTATAACAGGATACCTGAGACTGGGTGATGTTATAAGGAAAGAAGTTTATTTGGACTCAGTTCTGGAGGTTCTCACTTCCTTCAAAGATTGGGCAGCCACACCTGGTGAGGGCCTCATGCTGCTCCATTTTATGGCGGAAGTTGGAAAAGGAAGTAGGTACATGTTAGAGACAAAACACAGCGGGTAGCCTTGCTTATGACAGTCCACGCTGGCAGTAACCAGTCCCATTCCTAGATAAAGACATTAGTCCCTCTTCATGATCTGAACACTTCTTAAAGATCCCAACTAAAAGTTCATGGATGGACCCTTGGGGTCTCAACTCCTCTCACTGGATGGGCCCCTCTCTCTTCCCCTCTGCAGCTCAGTCAAAGGCCCACAGTAGAAATTGAGTTTCCACCACGTGAACTTCTCAGGGACACATTCACACCATAGCAGGCAGCCTGGGAGGGGGTGCCCAGAGGGACAGAATGACACTGGTCTAGGCCCAGAACAGTTCAAGAGCATGAGGCTGCAGGCTCATCATAGACCTTCACATGAAGGGCTCTGTCCCCTGCACCCAGCAGGGGATGTTCAAAGCTCAGGAAGGCGCAGTCAGTGTGTCTGCCATTCTTGTAACCTAAGGGGACAAAGAGAGCACAGACCTTAAGACACATCAAATGCAGGACCTCACTGTGCGAGGTCAACTCCCCCAAAGAAGGGCAATCTTGCAAGGTTCTAAAGGACATCTCAGGAGATTTTGCCCCCTTCCGATGAAAAGGTATTTCACACAGTCATGTGGCTTTGTGGAAGACGAAGGTGTTGTGTGATGTGCAGTGGAAAGGGGTCCCTCTGTCCCCCCACCCCTCACCCCTGGCCTCCTGACAGGCTGCTCTCCCTTCCAGGCTGCCATTCGGAAAGAGCTCAATGAATTTAAAAGCACTGAAATGGAAGTTCATGAATTGAGTAGACACTTAACAAGGTCAGTATCAAAGGGTTTCTGTTTGTTCTCTCCCCCCCCCCCCCACACACACACACTCTTGAAATTGCAAAGTTTACTTCCAAACAAAATGTCTCCTGTCTGCTCCCGGGTCACCTGCGGTTTGGTAAGTGCCGGGGTGAGGAAAGATGAAAGGTTGGTCAACATGAAGGCCTACTTTAAGTTGCCAGAACTCGCACAAGGAATGCTGAAGGCCCAGACATGAAGCAACCTTCTCCAAGCCTGCTCCTCCCTTCCTTCAAATGAACACTCTGACAAACCCCAGATTGCCAATCGCCCCAAACCAAGGCGGTTTTTATGAAACCAGCCGAGGAGAAGAGACCCCTGCAGTTTACATCCCGTCACCAAATCCTCACGGGCCTTCCCACGCAGATTCACTTCTGCTGCTCTGTGCTGCTGTTCTCCCAGACAGCTTTGTGGGATGTCATTTGGGGAAACTGAGGCACAGAGAAATGAAGGTCACATGGCTTGTTAGAGACAAAGCCATTGACTTGATTCTACTTATCCTCCTTTGGCGGGCACTTAGAGAACCAGGACTTAGCAAATATGTGGAATCTGGACTCAGAGTCACCATCTGGGCCCCTCCCACCTTGCTGCTGAGCCCCCAGGGTCACCAGGGCTGCTCACTTTGGGCCCCAGGAGGTCCAGTTAAACTGTCCCAAAACCAGGGGTGAGTTTGGGTGAAGTTCAGGTACTAGGGGGAGGGTCTGGAGACACGTACCTTCCTGTCACTCTTGCAACCCGGGTGTCTGAGGACGGGAGGGTGGCACTGCCAGGTGCCAGGCCCCGGCGGCCTCACGGTCCTGATGAAGTTCTTTGTCTTCTAGGTTCCATCGACCTTAACAGTTAAATTCCTCTTGAGTGCTATGCTGTCTTCAAAACATAAATTTATAAGAACCATAAGTGCTGGTATTTATTCACTTCCCCATTACGATGTAAATCTTCTGAACTGCCTTTTTTTAAAAAGAAGAAGAAGAAAAATAAAAGGAAACGCAATCAGGATTCTCTGTGCGAAAACGTGATGGTGACCACTGCACGGTCAGAGCTGCTGGCGTCACTGCGGGTACCGAAACGCGTCCCACCGGTGGCAGGGCCCTGGCGGAAGACCTCCCGGAGGCCCAGCGGTCCTCATCCTCGCCATCGGAGCCCGGCAGGCACCACGCTCACCTGGTCTCCAGTGAAACCCTTCCTCCCAAGGGTCTGTCACCTGAGTGGAAAGAAGGCGGAGGCAGTGAGCTTGTCTCAGAGACTTGCCCAGCTGGCAGTCCGGATGGCCTTCTAGATTTGGCCAGATGCGCCGGGCAGTCTGGGGGTCCCCGAGGAGGGAGGTGCTGAGAGCCGGGGAGCGCTTCTCCGTGGCCGGGTCCTTTCTCTTCGGCCATCATCCCCGCAGTGAACAGAATGGAAGGGCCTTTTCCCAGGGGGTTCTGGGGAGTCTGGGGCTGTCTGTGGGTCCTCAGGTGGGTGCCGTAGGGGCGGAAGGCTGTCAGGCAGCGCCCATCCTGCCCCCTCAGCCTGAGCTGAGCCGCCTCGCAGGAGACTCTGGTTTCAAAAGCGAGAGTTGTCACCTGCTCAGTTCTAATTAATTGACCCTCCCAGTGTCACACAGATGCCATGGCTAAGGTACTCCCATGATGTCCATGCGTCTGAGGGTGCAGACAGCGTGGGGCCATGAGCTGGGGTCACCCTCGCTCAGGCAGCACAGGCACTAAGTGGAGCCAAACAGAAGTCTAGCAAGGCTGGTCGGAAGCTCTGCTTGGCCAGGGTTCATTTTTCCTGTGCACCCAGAGGCAGGGGTGGTGTGACTTGGAAGTCATCGGTCCTCTGAGCCCAGGACCCATGCGTGGAGGCCAGAAGCCCTTCCTATAAGCCTGGCTCCCCAGCCACTGAGGGACTGGAGTTCCAGTGCCACTCTGTGGCCTCCTGTTCTCCCTTCTTTGCACTGAAAAGCTTCCATGGAGAAGCCCAGATTTCAGCACGTGCCAGATTCGGCAGATGCCAGGCACGCCTGCCCAGAGTGTCCCTCTCTTCCTGCTCCATTGATCCAGAGAGAGTCCTGACTCTCTTGTGATGCAGGGTGATTGGAGATGAGTCTCCAACCGTCGTCCTGCACACCGGGACCACAGAGAAGCAATACTCTGTCGGCAGGGACACCGGGGTTGGGTGTGCGGTGAAGTAAGGACACCCACAAACCCTACCCAGGATCCCAGCGAGGCCCAGAACACCCACTTTTCTTTCTGAGCAGAGCTCTCTCCGCCTTCTGTGGAGGATCCAGAGCCACCATGGTCCCTCTAGGCCTTGGCTCGCTCTCCACCCCACGCACCCAGGGTTTAGAAGGATGCCAGCTGCCGGCCTGGCCATCCCAAGAAAGAGTCAACAAGTCCTCATTCAAACCCAGGGGGGACCAGTAACCCTTGGGATGCAACACACATCTCTGGGGCTGTTGAATTTTCTACAGCCTTAACGGCTCCGTGGGCAGCACCAAGCAGGAGCCAGACAGATGTGGGGGAGAGCTCAGGGCAGCTCTGCAGGCAGTGCCCCCAGCCACTGGTCTCCTTGCGCCTCTGGAGCGCGCACGCCTCTGCCCAGCCCAAGGGCAGACACCATCACCATCACTGGACACCATCACTAGATCTTTCTTTTTTTCTTTGAATGTTGAATCTGAATAGTTCCTGCAGTCGGGAGAGGTATTCAGGGAAAATGTCTTCCCGAAAGGCTTACTGACAGTTTGAATGTTCGAATGGAATGACAGAAGATGCTTGGCTCTTGTGTTGAACTTCTCTAGGGCAGGTGGGGCAGGCACACATTCAAGGTGGAGGTGCCTGCCTGCCCGGGCTTGAGGCCCGCACTCCCTCTAACCAGCAGCTGAGCTTCAAAAGTGGCACGTGGTGCCCTGTGGCCTGATAGTCGGGCCTTCCCCTGGCCAGGAGTGAGTCCTCAGGGAACACATTCCGCTGACTAGACTCCTCCCACCAAGGTCCCTGGCATCCCTGCTGGCCTTGGGTCTTGGGCCTTCAAATTCCCTGGGAACAGAAAGACCAAATCCCGCTCCCTGCAGCCAGCCAGCAGCCCGGGTGGGCCACCCAAAGTGCCCTAGGGTTGCAGTCCACTTCCTGCATGGAGGAAACCAAACGCCACTTCCACTCCTCCTCCTGCAGGGCATCCTTTCCCAGAAGTCACTTTCTCAGACTGAGGGGTGCACCTTCCAGTCCCTGAAAGGTCACCCACCTTCAGGGTCAGCTATCTCAAGCCCACTCTAGGTGGTTCTTAGCCTCAGCAACCCCAGTGGCCTGCAGGACGGGGCCTCTGCTGTCTCCCTGTAAAACCTCCAGGTCTTTAGAGAGATCATCTACCCACATTTTTCTGGCCACATTGTTATGACACCGAAGCAACTTGTGTTTCCTTCCAAGATGACAACTGGACCCTCATTGGGGGCAGGGAGAAGAGATGGGCTAAATGGTTTAAAATGCATCACTTTTCCGGAAGTACTTGCAGTTTTGGAGTTGGTGCATGTACGTTCCCAGTGGAGCATGGTGTCATCTGGATTCGTGGGAGAGGGAAACGTGAATTATCTCAAATTCTGTCCCTCTCGAAATTAGACATGGCTCCAAGTCCAACCCCAACCCCCGCCCCTTAATGACAAAAGACACAGCCATTGGCCAACTTCCTTTCTCAAAATTCTGATAACCTCATTCCCAAGGCCCCCGAGCCCTGTCACACTTTTAAAACATTTGCCTTTCTGTCCGATTAGAGAAACTACCAACGACGTGGCGTTGAACGTGAGGAAAGCTTTGGGTTTATTTTTCTCCCGCTTTATGAACATGTATTTATATTTGCCGAATGAACATCGTGGTGTGTGGCTTCCATGAAGGGAGCTGCAGGCTCCCCCGTGCACGGCCGGTGGGTAAAGGTCACCTGCCATGACTTTTCCTTCCCGTTGGTCTGTTAACCCCCAAACCGGATGCTTTCTCCAGTTGCTTCCTGGGTGTGTGTACATAGTTTGTCTTTGTATAGGAGTGAGTGTGGCGACCGTCAATCCGTGCCCTCCCGGGTTCCGCTTCACAGATGACGGCTGTATGAGGGAGACGATGTACATACAACACAAATTAAACTGGATCTCTACGGCCTCGGTTTTGTACATACAGAAACTGCATGGTATTTAAATTATTGTTTGTCTCTGATGATGTATGCAGTTTCTCTAAAAACAAACCAAAACAAAAAAGTCTAAAAAAAAAAATTGACTCCTGTGTGTTTTATCATCCCCCAGAAGGAAATACCAAAGACAGATCGTTGGGCTGGGGAAGGCGGGTTGGTCCTCATCAGCCAAATAGGGCCAATCAGGGGACACGTGGGGCCACCTCCTGTACCAGGAAATGCTGGGGAAGGAAGTTTCGTGGCTCATCAGTTTTCTAGAAGACTTCTTGTCCACTAGGGGTTTGCCCTTAATGTTTGGAATATCTAAAATGGTTTGCCCAACTGTGGTGTCCTTGAATTCCCTGGGTGGGGGAGTTTAGATGAGCTTTTTGTTAATGACTCAGGTCATCTCAGTAGTATTAGGGATCAGATGGTCTTTAGCCATAATGACTTGGGAACCTTTGGGGTTCCTGTCACTAATGCCCTGTCACTCCATCCATGTCGGTGGATTCCACCAACCATGGGTCAAAAATTAGAATGAACATGCAGACTTTTTTCTTGTCATTATTCCCTAAGCAGCACTATGTAACGACTACCTACACAGCGTCTATGTGGCACTAGGTAGTAGAGGTCATCTAGAGATGGGCCAAGCACAGGGGAGAGTGTGGGGAATTCAGTGCAGGCCTTCCTTTTACTTACGGGAATTGAGCACTGGTATCCACAGGGGCAGGGGTGGTCCTGGAACCAACTCCCCCTGGTATACACAGCTGGACTTCTTTCTCCTTGAAAAGCCTGGTTTTTGTCCTATAAAGCAGAGAGCTTTTTTTTTTTTTTTTGTAACTACCATTGCTAAATTGCTTCTTTGAAGATCTGGGGGAAAACAGGAGAAGCAGCACGAGGAGAGGGGTGAGGTTGCTGGATGACACATCCTTGTCCCAGCAATGGAGGAAACTTTTTTCTAGGGAAGAGGAACAGGGTGGGAGCTGCTTAAGAATCATCTGGGGCTCTTGTTAAGGTGCAGGTGCCCATCAGCAGCGTGGGCGGGGCCCAAGTCTGCTGGCTCCAGGGTCGCTGGTCCTGCTGGGAAAATAATCAACTTTATGAGTCGCAGGTGCTTGTGAGGACAGCCCAAAGACAGCCACATTTCCCTTGCCTGGACCTCTGATGACCACAGGCTCTGCCTGTTTCTTTGCTGAGGAACAGCAGCCAAGCCATCGCTGGGTGTCGAGTCCTGCAGGATTCGCAGCCCGGTGCCAGGCACCTGTGCAGGCCCACAGCACTGGAGCCCGGAGGCTGAAGCAGCAGAGCTTCCAGCTCCCGGCCTGAGTTTTCTCCCTCCCTCTTCCCCTTCTGGCTTATGAACTGCAGAACCTGCCTGCAGCTTTCCAAGGGGGTAAAGGGGCTAGAAAGCAAAAGCTCCAGGAAGCCAAAGGCTCTGCCAGGCAAGAGGGAAGGAAAAGGGCGGGGAAGGGGAGGGAGGGTGTGGTCACACAGTCTCCCCAGGCAGGTGGGCTGCTGTGACACAGCAGTCATGGCTCTGCTGCTACACCTAACAGGACAGTTTGGGTGACGTCCCTCAATTTCTCCAGGCCACAGTTTCCTCATCACATCACATGAGACGTTCTCAAGCCTCCTTCAGTTTGTCAGCTCAGGGTTGGGGGAATTTTTAAAACACTAGACTGAGTCTTCAGGAAAGAGGAAGCTGCGAGCAGGCCCACGGGGGCCAGTCTCCTGGAGAAGAGTTGGGATTCCTCTAAGTCTTCTGCAAGTGCCTGTCACAGACTGGCCCCCTGGGGAGCCGCCCTTCCCAGTGCCCCCCTGAGGCCTCATCCTGCAGCAGCTTCAACCAGCTCTGCCTAAGACCCTGC